CCCTAGAATTATGAGAACCAAAGTTTAAAGTCTCTTTTAACACATTCATCCGCTGGGTAACCCTGCAGCTACTTAAACTCACAACAAAACATAACAAAGAGAGAAAGATTCCCACATTATGTAATACCCCCACCGTTGATATATCCATAAGGACCACGGAAGTAGGCCTTCTTCCCCTCCTGACGTGCTTGCTTGATCCTTGGCCACAGCACCTCCCTTGCTTCTTTAACCTCCTTGGTGAGGTCTTCAGCGAACCTGATGCCTGCATCTTGGCAGATCTTAGAATTTTTAATCATCTTCCAAAAGGCGTCTCTGTGGTGTCATTTAGGGAATTGAATGATGACATCTCTCACTCTTCCATTTTCCCTCTGACCGACGCGGTGTACTGTATCCACAATCTCATCCATTTTCTCTGCCCACTGCGGTGCATTCTTCTTGAGAAGGTCTACCACAACCAGACGTGTGTCTTCGTTGGCAGATTCTTTAAAACCTTTAATTTTGATGTCCCATCTTCTTTTGTAATTATCAAGTTCACGACATTTTTCTTTCAACAGTGTGAGTTCAGTTTTCAAACCGGCCACTTCGTTTTCTATGTCGTTCACTTTATGCTTACAGTCTTTAATTTCAGCCGCATTGAACTCGGTCGCTTTAGCCACGTTAAGTAGCATAGCACAGTTTTGTGTTAGCTTAGCATCAAGGTCTTTCATGCGCTCCTCCTGCGATTCAAATTTGACCGTGAATTTGTCGATAGCAGCCAAGATCACGGAACCTGATACCTCGTCATCATTCGGTTTCGGTACCTTACAGGTGGTAACTTTAGATGGTGTGGAGGGAGCCGACGCATCTCGGGGTCTTTTATCACTTTGGCGGTCCATATCTGTGGCATATTCGTGGTTCGCTTGTTTCTGAGCAGTAGCTGGAGTGTTGGCTTTCAGCTTAGACATCTTAATAGACTGCCCTATTTAACTCTATAAAATCCAATGTGATTCGGTGGGAAATACAAGTTTTAAGCAGTAATTTTGAGGAAAATAACCAGGAGCAGAGCAAAGGTAGAACTGCTCAGGCCGCCATCTTGCCGACCAGCCCGGTCAACACATTTGTCTGCCAGGAGTTCGATTTTAGATTTTAAATGCCATCGGTACTTTCTTTTTAAATTAAATTTTATTTTTTCCTTCCCTTCAGCTTCACCAGCTCTTCTAATTTTACTGCTGCTAGTTGTTTTGGACGTCTTTTCCTAATGAGATACAACCAATCAGCGTGAGTTAACTGGAGATTCTGCTCAGCTACACCGCTGGGCCGTTCGGAGTACCTACTCCAGAGCAGGCTCTCAGAAAGCTCCTGAAAACGGCCGTTTGGACGGCCCGGTCAGGTGGAAACACGCGCGTGTTGGGAGGTTCCTGTGAATCTACCCTGAAGTTCTTGTAGTGGAAACACGCCTACGGACGATACAATTGTCCCAGTGTGCTTTGTGTGTAGAATAAATGATACTAGAGAGAAATAAAGTAATAAGATACATTTAAATGTTCAGAGGCAAAAGAGATGCTGTAATAACAATCGGTCAAAACCTACAATTTATGAGTAAAAGATACAAAATGAGACTGATACATCTATGGGGAAAATATTTTCAAGAAAGGGTTTCTACTAAGCATAGCATTTGCAATTTAGTAGTTCCCTCTTGTCTTCCTCTTTCAACTTCATATTCATATTCCCAAATGTAAGAAAAAATAGCTTTATTGAGATAAAGAGGCTAAAATGTTGCTCTCAGGTTATCAAAACTGGCGTTCAGCTCCAGCTCATCAATTCTCCTCATCATTCAGTCAGTTACACATTCTGGGTTTGTAGCACTGTAGCTAGATGGGCTTAGCACTTTGACTCCATAGAACTTTTGTTTTTAACACAAATATAATTTTATTTGCCCGCGACCCTACGTGGACAAAGCGGGTTCAGAAGATGGATGGATGGATGATTTTATTTGTGTTTTTAGCTCAATTAAAAGAGAAAATGACTGGCCAAAATGTATTTTATTTTGAAATAATCTACAGGAAATGATTATGCTAAGTAACTATTGTAACTTTAAAAATGAATTCCATCTCCTCCTCCTCCACCTTCATCATCATAACATTTACATGAGGGGAAAATACAATTAATACATTTATTAGTTTATCAGGGTGTAGTTACAGCTTGTTGCCACGAGGGGGCATTAATCCCCGTCCTCCAAATTAGCTTTATTTACATTCCAGCTTTGTGACAGTCAAAAATTCAACATGCTTTTATCTCAGCAGCTCTCTATGCACCCAGATAATGAACTCCCCCAGTGACTGACCCCAGAACATCAGGTCAGGAGACCAAATCTTCACCATGCTGCAGGGGTGCGTCCTAGCATGCTCCACATGGAGAAGCCAGAAGAAAAAAATGCAACAAAAGTTGTAATATTCATTAGAATAATTCAGATGATTTTATTTAATGCGGATTGTCCAAATAAAACAATAAAAACAAGTTTTAGAAAAGCTGAGTGTGTGTGTGTGTGTGTGTGTGCGTGCGTGCGTGCGTGTGTGCGTGTGTGTGTGTGTGCGTGCGTGAGCATCAGAAGGCTGAACAACAACCTGTAGAATAATTAAAGTCATCATGCTAGAGCAGCTTCTCTGTGGTGGACCACACCAGCTTCTGCCACAATAAATAATAATAATAAGAAGAAGAAGAAATCACACACAAAGTTGTGAACATTTTAATTTCCTTTTTGAACTATTTCTGTTGAGAGTTTTAATGTTTAAAATCTGTTAGATTGTTACTGACAGCAGCTACATTTAAGTTTCACTTTCTGTTCTGACTGAAGCTGCTGCAGCATGGAGGTGTAGTTCTCAGTCAACCTGGACATGATCATCCTGAGAGTTTTAGCTGAAAACAGCTGGACGTTTCTGGATATGTTGGAGACATTTAGCTTCTCATCCCAGAGGATTCTTCCAGACTTTGGTTGTGGTCAGAAACAAACACACTGGTTGTGCTGCAAGTCTTTTTCTTTTTTTTCTCCAAAACACGTATTTGTCTAAATGAAGGTGATGTTATCGTTCATAGAATTAAAATTCATGTTGAAGTTGAGATTATTTCATCAAGTAGGACCTGTGGTTAGCTAGCTCATGTAAAACATGTCATGTCTTGAAAGAATCGGAATCGGGAATCGATAGAAACCGGAATCGAAATGAGGAATTGGAATCGGAATTGTTCAAAATCAAACGATGCCCAACCCTGATGATGGTGCGGTACCCTTCACCCACAATCTCCCGGTGTCCACTCTTGAATTGGGAGATTGTGGGTTCAAATTTGAAAAGCGATGTGATGAATGGATCAGGATTCAGTCATTGAGAACGAAATGTTCATCAAGATTCGAGGGTTTTCTACGATTGTACGTTTAATTTACTGTTTGCCATTGGTATGTGAAGACATGTGGTGTGTGTGTGTGTGTGTGTGGTGTGTGTGTGTGTGTGTGTGTGTGTGTGTGTGTGTGTGTGTGTGTGTGTGTGTGTGTGTGTGTGTGTGTGTGTGTGTGTGTCAGACTCGAAGACTGGGTTCGGTAGTACGAGCTTTTATTACAGACTGCTGGCTGAAAGCGTTGCTGGAAAGGCTGACGGTTGGATGAGGTCTGAGGAGGAAAGGTAGAGGTTAAGCTGTATTAGCTTCGGAATACTCTGATCATGGATCACAGTGGAACGATGACTGAGTGAAGAGCCGGTGTGGCGTCTTCCATATATAGACATGGATTGACGCAGGTGCAACGTGGAGGGAATCCCCGCGAGGGGCATGCTGGGTAATGTGGTCCCAGACGGAAGCCGGTCATCTGGGAGAGCCCGGCCTGGGGGCTTGGACTCTGACAGTGTGTGTGTGTGTGTGTGTGTGTGTGTGTGTGTGTGTGTGTGTGTGTGTGTGTGTGTGTGTGTGTGTGTGTGTGTGTGTGTGTGTTCGACTGAAAGGACAGTGTGAGAAATCAGAGGAAACTCGCTCTCAGAGCCGCTGTGGGACAATAGAGCCCGACCTTTAACCCCAAGGGAAGCAGCCTAACGGGGAAAGTCATCCTGGAACGCTGCAATGCGTTACAAAATTAAAAGGACTCAAGTTTGTTTTAGATTACAGAATGAATCTTTCTTTCTTTCATTCATATTTTGCCTTTACCCGCCACATTTATGTTCATGCATTATTTTCCACTGCACTCTATTTTCTCTTTGCATTTTTTAATTAAACTTTTGATCAGTTTTCACTTAAAAAAAACTTTTAATGTGAATTTCCAGAATCTCTATTTGGACTTAGTCACATGCTTTAATCACATATGTTGAAAGATTTGTAATAAAGCCCTAGAGAGGCGTTTCATCTTCATCGCCACCAGCAGCGGGGTTCAGCACGCGTAGAAAAGCAGAGGCCTCATTCTCCCACTATGATGTCAAATTCTAGTCAAATTCCAGAAAAGTTCCCATATTTTAAAGAACACTTTGATAAAGTCCGTTTGATCTTGTGGGTTTAATTTGATCAGAATCTTAATGAAGAGAAATGTTCTGTTTTTCATTCCGACCGCTTTCTATCGTCTGCATTACAAAAGGTATTAAGCTCACATCATAATAACTAAAATAATACAGTTAGAGATTACATGTAAATAATCCAGTGTGATGGGATATTTGGAAGCATGCAGCTGATTTAGACACCTTCTAAACAAGACATGTTAATTTAACAGTTTAATTGCTTAAACTAAGAGTTTTAAATAGTTTTGTGCTTAAATGTGATGATTTGTCATTTCAGACGTGTGTGTGATCTGATGAGGAGTGTGTGATCTCTCTCTCCAGGGTCACCACTTTCTCAGGTTCTCTAAAAGCTCCTCCAGCTGTTCCCCTGAGACCAAACTATTGTCCCAAAAGAACACGAGCACAGAGCATGTGGCGGGCCAGCTTTCCTTTTGCTTCAGCTCAGCATCTCTGATTGGTTCAAACTGTGGGAAACTCCATCCAGACCAGGACCCACACATTCAAATGGAGATGTGTGAGTATAAATAGGAGGGCTGAAGGCTGCAGAGATCAGACTCTCTCCACAGAGACCTCTACAGACAAAACCATGGCTCCTACAATCACTGCAGCATCCACCCAGGACCAGCTGGTTCTCAGCCACAAGGTAAACATGATGCTCATGGAAAGACAGAAGCTATTGGAGAAGGTTTTAGACTTGATGTCATCATCGTTGTGGTGAAGAATCAGTTCATTCATGATGTTCTTGTTTCTGCAGCTGAGGAAGCCTCTGGTGGAGAAGTTACGCAGAGAGAGAATCAACAGCAGCATCGAGCAGCTCAAGTCTCTCCTGGGTCCAGAGTTCCTCAAACAGCAGCCAGACTCCAAGCTGGAGAAAGCAGACATCCTGGAGATGACCGTCTGTGTCCTGACACGACTGCAGCAGCAGAACCAGAAGCAGCATCAAGCAGCTGCTGATCAGGGCTACTCCAGATGTGTCCAGGAGGTGGCGCACTTCCTGTCCAGAGACCAGGAGAAGACACAGTCCCAGAGAAGACTGCTGAACCACTTCAACAAGCTGCAGGGCCTGAGAGAGGCTGACCTGTGTCCTCTGAGCTCCACGGTCCAGAACAGCACCAGTAAAGACAAGAGTCCAGCCAGCAGCGCCCCCTGGAGGCCGTGGTAGACTCCTGCAGAAACATCTGACCATGTTGGTCTTATTTTGAAGACATGAAACTTCATGGACTTGTTCTTCTGAGCGTGCAGAAGGATCCTGTCAGATTTTTATATCTGATGAAACATTTTCTGTGAAAATGACTTCAGGATCTTTTCCTTTAGGAAACAAACCTTCATGCATGTTGCACGACTGAATCTACGGTTTCTGTAGTTCTTTAAGTCTAGGATTAGAAAAATGATGTTTTGTTGCTCTAAACAACTTTTGTTACATCGAAAATTTGTTTTTTCCAACTTTACCTTCAATATTTTTCACACCTTTGTTCTAAAAAGTCCTTTTTCTGACTGAGCTGGTTTTTAATTATGTTTATTATATAAACATAAAAACAGATCTTTTCCTTTAGGAAACAAACCTTCGTGCATGTTGCACGACTGAGTCTACGGTTTCTGTAGTTCTTTAAGTCTAGGATTACATTTGATGTGATGCTTATTGATGATCTGGTTTTAAATCTAAATACCTGAAAACATTTAGGTTGAACTAGTTTCAGCTTCAATGGAATTATTACACTTCAGATTGGACGTTGTCATATTAATATGATCGGTTTCAAGGTCAGTTTCAATGTTTTGTGTTTGTTAAACATTCATTTAGTTTCAAACAAAGTTAAATGACAGTGAGTCATGTCCCCGAATCATTTGTCTTTTAAAAAGACTAAGTTTTCTGTGACTTGTTAAAATGTCAAAGTTGTTGTTGTGATGCATCATCACCAGTGCTTTCCTACCATTTTATTTCATTTTATAGTAAATAAATAAACAATATAAGCTGAAATGGCTGTGTGCTCCTCTTATTATCAAGGTATTATTTAGTGCAGAGACTTTAGGGACCTATTCATTCATATTACACAATGTTTTAGACCAGATGTCAACATCAGCACTGGCGTCAGCATTCTACAAAGCTTCAGAACCATCACGTTTGTGATTTACACTGTGTGCATTAAAATCAGAGACAGAATCAGAAAGATGTTTCTGTCTCCATGACAGGAGTTCAGTTCCTGGAGCTCGTTGGGGGAAATTCTGGTAAAGATGATTTCACTCCTGAGGAGATCGTTCATATCCGAAGTAGAGATTCTTCACGGATTGTTTTGGGCTGCGTTACAGATTGTTCAATAACTTTTTTTTCTTCAAAATTTATTACAGACAAAACAGTTGTCCATATTATAAAATGTCAGAGATAATAAGTGTTCTCCCTTTCCGGTCAGCTCACGGGTCCCCGGAAGAACGAAAAAATTAACGCAAGTCAACGACGCTAAAAATGCTATTTTCTAACCTTACGCCCTGGATCACACACATGCTGTCCTGCAATTTAGATGAAAAGTAATGATGGATGTTTCAACCACGCCGGTCACGTACTTTGAGATTTATTAGCTTGTAAAAGTTCGTAATTAGCATGACTACAAACTAGAAATCAGCACATCGCGTATGTGATGTCACCACATAAGCTCCTCCCCCCTAGCGCCTGCTACTTATCACATGACCAAATTTATGCTGGTTCTTTCCTCCTGCGGGAAATTTGCTGAACTTACAGCCCTTTTCCATCAGTTTTCTCCATGTCTGGTTAGATGACGTCACTTTCATGAAGCGCGTTTGCAGTCTTGGACTTATTTTCACACAAAAACTAAAATAACGTTTCCCCGCTGTTCGAAAATAAGCAAGTTCTTGGTATCAAAATGCATCTTTAAAATTCACGAACATCATGTGTGAGATCCATGGCACAAAACAAGCGGAATTAGAAAATAGCGTTTTAGTCCCGTTGACTTGCATTGATTTTTTTCGTTCTTCCGGGGACCCGTGGCCTGTAAGTAGATGGGCGTGGCTTAGGCTCCTATAATAAATAAAAGTAAAATGCCCGTAACAAAAACAGAATGAAATTTCAGTTACATTTCACATCACACACCATATAAGCAGTTGTTCCAATATTACAGCAGTAGCTCAGGAGGTAGAGCCCCACCATGCAAAGACCTTGTTTGGACGTCCTACAGACGAGGTCTGGACTGACAGACTCAACATAGACATGATCTGCATGTCCATGCAACGCTGACTGTTTGCAGGGGCAGGTTGCCTCATGATCAGAGAGGGTCATGGGTTCGATGGTAGCTCCGTCCAGGGGTATTCTGCTGTTGTGTTCTTGGGCAAGGCACTTAACCCAACTTGCCTGTGTTGGTGGTGGTCAGAGGGCCCGCCAGTGCCAAATGGCAGTCTCGCCTCTGTCAGACCGCCCCAGGGCGGCTGTGGCTACAAAGTAGCTTACCATCGCTAGCAGTGTGTGAATGTGAGAGTGCAAGCAAGCGTCTTTGAGTGTCCTAAACAAGCGCTATATAAGTTTGATGTATTATTATTATATTTTAAAAAGCCAGAGGAATGCATTGTGTCACTGAATGAACGACTTGACAAAGCTCTGACTACGGTGTAAGCAGTCCCGTTCAAACGGCACATGAAGTCGTAGTTCTGCAGTAGTGCATGAAAAGTGGGGACGTTAGTCGTGACAAACGTTTGGCTTGCCGAGGTGCATCGAGGGAGGACTCTGAATGAGTCCACATAAGCTACTGGTAACTTTTTTATAGCTGCCTTACTATAATTACTCCACAATTGGGACGTGTAGAAAGGAGTGCAAAAAGAAAGAAAAAGGACCACTTTGCCGTTGTCGGTGCACATACCAAAGTTACGTGCCAGAGCGTTAGCCTGCATGCACATCTTACAGTCCTGTCTTTTTATATCCTCATCATCACAGAGATCATTCCTTACAATGTGTCCCAAATATGTTACTTTTCCCACCACTTCCAGGACTTGGTTTGTCAAATTAAAAAATGGAAATATCGTCTTCCTGTCTTCTATGTTGCAGCAATCATCACAACACTTTTTGGGGGTTAAACATAAGGTCAAACTCCACCACATTTGGTGCAGGTCCTGAGCAGCTGCTGCAAGCCAGCACTGCAAGGGCACAAGAGGACTACATCATCAGCATACATGAAGTGATTTACAAGCCGCTCGCCCACTTAGCATCCAGTCTTGCAGTTATTCAGTGCAAGAGACAAATCATCAGGTTACAGGTTAAAGGGAACTGGAGACAGACTCCTGCCTTGTCTGACTCCATGGATACAGTGAAAGGTTCAGAGACCTCCATTCCCCACTTAACCTGCATCCACCGGTGTGAATACCAAAAAAGTATTATCCTGATCATCAATGAACCCCTCTACTCTGTAGTTTAAGATAGAGTTTAGTGTGTTTGACTTGGTCAGAGGCAATGGAGGCGTCAAAAAACACATAAAAACAGATGTATTCTGACTCTTATACTTATTTACAGTCTGCTTAAGGGCATATATACAAAGATCAGCACTGAGCTCACTTTTAAAACCAAACTGATTCTGTTGTTGCTATAAAATCACTGAATCTTTCCAGCAGAGTGTGCTGAAACACTTTGGACAACACGTTAGCCACGGCGACCGGCCTGTAGTTGTCAGTACAGGATGTTTCTAGTGTTTTCTTTTACTACAGGGACTAAAAGAACTGATAACATGTGATCAGCTGAGATGCCATGCTTCAAAACCAGTAGAGCATAATGAGAGTAACACATGAGCTCTACGGCTAGCATGCTTCATGCGCTCTGCTGATAACATATCTGGGCCACACGCTTTGATGATGTTTTCTCAACGGCAAGGCGGACTTCAATCATGCCATTACCGTAATCCTCATTGTCTTTGTTGAACTCTTCACTATTTATACAACTGAAAATCCTGCTATAGTGTTTCCTCCATAGACCTGCAGTATTCCCATCTCCAGATACCCCATCAGTGTTTGCTGGTAGCAGTGACTTACTGTTGCTGGTGAGCCTTAACTCCTTCCAGAGCTCAGAGGCTTTATTATTCTGACGTTTATTTGCTAGGGAATCTGCCCACAATGTTTCTTCATTCCTTTTAATGTAGCGAACTGCATTCTTAAATTTAGCGTTAGCTGCGTTCGTAGACTCCAGCATCATCAGTCATCATCAATAAGAAGGAGACTGTCCAACTAAAGACCTGGACCCTGTCCTGTCTCCTGAGACCTGCCTCTGTAACAGCTGATCCAGCAGAACCCTGCAGGAGGACTCACCCCCCACAGACCTCAGCTCTTATCCTCAGGAAGGAGTCGGCTGCTGTAGGAGGAATAAATATAAATGTTTATTCTTCACTCTTTAAGGAATCATAACTCACTTTTATTTTGTTTACTGAACATGACTTTGTTCACTTCTGTTATTTTTCTTTTTCTTTTGAACTGCCTGATGTGTAAAATGCAATCTTGTGTTTTAAATGGGAGGTAAATACGGAAGCCCATTTCTGCCACTCTGATAAAATAAAAATCTTGTATCATAATTATGTGATACTACCTCATAATAAAGAGATAGTTAAGTCATGATTATGGCATGAAAGATCTTTTTTAATCCATGGCAGGGATGGGATTCCATAATTAAATACTTTTTCTGTATAAAGACAAAAATATTTTTAGAGTCTTTAGAAGAAAAAGAAAAAAAGAAGGTTCTGAATAAGTGTGTGCGTGCGTGCGTGCGTGCGTGCGTGCGTGCGTGTGTGTGTGTGTGTGTGTGTGTGTGTGTGTGTGTGTGTGTGTGTGGTGAGGTGGTGAGGATAATGAGGCACACTTCTATTGGAACTCCACTGAAAGGACAGAGTGTGAGAAACTAGAGGAATGTCACTCTCAGAGCTGCTGTGGGACAATAGAGCCTGACCTTTGACCCTGAAGAGGAGCAGCCTAGCAGGGGACGTTGTGCACATGAAACCTGCGTTGTTGTGGCAAGTTTCCAAAGACAGACCAGTCTTTTTTTAATGTTACAGAATCAATGTTGAGTTTTTTTTCTAATTCAATTCTTTTGAACTTTAGACATAATAAACATCCTGAAGAACAGATCTAAATGTTTTTATTTTGTTTAATCAATTACAATTAGATCATGTGGGCTGCGCAGTGCAGTGAGAAGGTCCTGGGTTCACTTCCCGGCCTGGGATCTTTCTGCATGGAGTTTGCATGTTCTCCCTGTGCATGCGTGGGTTCTCTCCGGGTACTCCGGCTTCCTCCCACAGTCCAAACACATGACTGTTAGGTTAATTGGTCTGTCTAAAATGTCCTTAGGTGTGAGTGTGTGTGTGCATGGTTGTTTGTCCTGTGTGTCTCTGTGTTGCCCTGCGAGGGACTGGCTCTCTGTCCAGGGTGTACCCCGCCTACTTGCCCGTTGACTGCTGGAGATAGCCCCCCCCCACCCACCCCACCCCCCCGACCCTGCGTGGACAAAGCGGGTTCAGAAGATGGATGGATGGACAATTAGCTCATTTATTGCTTTCAAAATGAAACCCAAAAGCCACATTTACAGTATTTATAAAATGTTGATAAAGTCAGCACAAAAATCATGTTTTTGGGTAAAATCTGAAGAGAAATTCAGTGTAATTAGAAAATGAACAGAAGTTTATGCACAAGAGTAAACTTAAGTGGAACCACAGTAAGGGTTTCAACTGGTAGTATTTATTTGTTTTTCAATTTCTGCATGAAGTTATTTATTTATTAATTAATTTATTATTTATTTATTTATTTATTTATTTATTTTCACTAAACTGTCCTTTCATATTCATTGAATCTACATTAGATCAGCAGTAATTTTCATTAAGAGCACATCGTGACACCTCACATGCTTTCATGTCATTTCATTTGAGGCATGCGGTAAATCTCTGGAGAACAAAGTTCAGCCAGATTAGCAACACCACCCCCACCGGCCCACAGCCGTTCTCCAAG